CCAGTTATGAAGACAGAGATTAAAAAATGTTTGAGAGAAGTGCAATTAAGCTTTAGAGTTTGTTTTTAAAAAAAAAAGTCCAGAGAGTGTAACTTCTTGAGGGCTTTCCTTCTAAGCACTGCTAATGGGCTCAAACTGTTTCATCAACAAGATTGTGTGTGTGTGTGTGTGGTGTGTGTGTGTGCACAAGATGAGAGAGAGAGAGAGAGAGAGAGAGAGAGAGAGAGAAAGAGAGAGAACTAGCCCTTCTATGCACTTGACAGTATTTGCAGGAAGTGAGTGCGGTGTAAATTAATTTCTGTGGTGTAAGTACTTTTATCACAACTGACTTCAAGCTATCAATTCATTGTCACTTTGCATAAGATGAGAAAATTTATACTTGGTTCTCACAAGTCAGTATGAACTGGCTCCAAAACAAGCTGTCTTCACAAATCATAACTAGTATATCTATTGAAAACTGGAATGCTGTATTTGCAAATGTATGTGTCCCAGACATGTTCTCTGTAAAACTTCTCATTTATAGAGACCTTTTCCTTCTTTACTTAAAATATTAATATATTTCAAGAACTGAAGCATGGGAAGGCATAGGCCCCTGGACACAGGAAGTGAAGAAGTCAGGTATTATCACAAGATGGTGTAACTGCCGCAGTGACAGGGAGTGGGGAATGGGCTGGGACGGGGTGAAGAGGTTGTCCCTTGCTTTCCCAAAATGACAGTACATTTATTCTACATGTAGAGCTGAGGATGAGGTGTTGGACAAAAGATTACAGTCTGTTCCTAGAGATGGAGAGTCATCTGTAAGAGTTAGGGAAGCAGTGACTCTTTCCTCAGCTACAGAAGGAAGTGCAGCAATGGAGATTAAAAGCTCAAATAGTGAGCTTTTTCGAAAGTTGGAAAAGGACAAATCAATAGGCAAGATGCAGTTAGGTATGTAAGAGAAAATCCCGTACACCCAGAAACATCACGAAGGAGAAAGATGAAAGTAGACGAAACAGTCCAAAGCTCTGTCAAAGCACAGAGAACAAAGGGCAGAAGGCTCCAGTCTTGGGATGAGGGCACGGAACAGGCCTTGGGGGGTATGGGTCATAGATGTGCACCACGGAGGAAGATGAATCAATGCTTCCTTCTTAAACCTTGGAAAGCTGTGTAAGAACTCAAGGCTCCTTTCCACACAAGTCTCTGGTCCAGATCTAAGGCACCAAGGCAAACTAATGAGCCAATGGATGGACAAAGCTCCAGCACACCATGAATGCAGCCAATGTAGGGGTGGGGACTGTTCCAGCTGCACGCCAGCGGGCCAGCCAGCCTGGCACGCCGAAGAATGGAAATTCTGGTGTGGCTTCTCGGCCCTTCCGTGTCTAGGGGTAGTGGCCAGTCCCCATATGGAAGAGCTTTATCCAGAACCACAAGATGGACGGCTGCCCCTAAATGAGCCATCCCATGGCACATAGAGTAGTTTGGCAGGAAGCTTTTGGGAAGGGTGGCAATTTAGTGCCAGAGTCTCTGCCAAAACAAAGCAACCCAGAAATGAAAGGAAATTTCAGCAAGCAGGAGAAAAGCTGAACTCAGGAGGAAACTCAAACTACTATGTACCAGGTCGTAAGCCTGGCTGGACCCAGGTCCAGACATGGCAGTCAGTGCCTCGGGCTGAGGTTGGCTCTGCCTTGCTTCACGTGTGTGTGTGTTTCCTGTTCCTCCCAGGCTGGGGTTTCTTGGCGGCGTGGCCTCGGCAGTGAGTGCAGGGGTCTTGACTGACCACCTGGTATAGAAGCGCTCACTCTGTGCCTTCAGGAACCAACTTTCTCAGGTCCAACTCAGATCACGCGGGTAACCTCCTCTTTCATTTTCTTCTCTTGTTTCTCCCAGGAAAATCCCTCCAAATAAGTGATTTTCCTCTCTTGTGTTAGAGGGCCAAGTTTTTCCAAAAATCACCACTTCAGCACCGCTTTGCATTTTCTATGACTTTGCAAAGACTCTTAAGGGAGTGTATTTATTAGCTCAGAGCTCTGTAGGGCCCAAGGACCTGTCAGCAACCTCTTGGCCTCAACAATACTACAGGACAGATAGAAAGACTTTTGGTTTGCTCAGGAAGTAGCACTACATTGAAATACAATAAAAAGTAAGGTAACTGCAAGTTAAAGGTGGGAAATGGTCTGTGATTTTAGGGAGTAGAAGACTTACAGAAGAGGGAAGGCAGCTGAGAGCTAGAGTGTGGATTTGGTTTTTGTTTTTGTTTGTTTTTCTTCTGGTACCAGGAATTGAACTCACGACGCTGAGTTTGCCAGGCAGGCACTGTGCTGCTGAGCTAAATCCCTGGCTCCTAGAGCATGGATTTGGGATCACAGACATGAACACAAGTGTGTGTATGGTGCTGTGACATCAGTCACACATAACTAGCAGCTGCAGGTCCCGTTACTGGCTCAGATAATGGGCTAGAGAGGAAAGCAGCAATGTTATCTCCTCTCCCCACTGTAAAAGGCCAGAGCAAAGTTTATTCCGCCAGACATGATAGAACTGTGAAGATCTGTTTGTTCTTAGTGGAAATAAGGCAGGAGAGATGGAGAGTGGGTATTTCCGAGCACAACAGTGGCTCTAGCAGCTCCTTGGGGCACCCAGGAGGAAGGTGCCTGGCTTCTCACCCTCTCCTTCCTTGTCTGGCCTCTCCTGAGTCAGGACAGTACTTGCTCTAGGATGTCATCATCCAGGGCCATTTCTGCCTCAGACACATTGGAGAGCTGAGCAGTCTGAACAGACACGGGGCAAGCAGTGAAAGACTTCTCAAACTTAGTGTGTGTGTTCTAACACCCAGATTCTCCTTCCTTGGGGCTGGGTGAGATTTGAGAGTTTTTGTTTCTTTAAGCTCCCCACTGATGTCCAGTTGACTGGTCCGGGTGCCACACTGCAAGTCACAAGGAGAAAAAGCCTTCTCTCTGCAGAAGCACGCTCCTTCCCTTTTAGTGGGGCATAGTTGGGCGGCTGGAACAAATACTGCCCACAAGACTAGGGACCTTCCTCTCTAACCTTTGTCCAGACCTCCCGCCTGATCCAGTCCCAGAAGAATTTCCTAATAATGCCTCTTCCTTGGGGCTGCTATTGTTCCAGGAGAAAACAGGAGGGGAAATAAAGTAAAGCAGCTTTGCTGGAAAAGCTTAATGGGACTGTCTTTTACTTTTCCTTCTTTGCCCCAGATCAGGGAGGTTGACTCCTCTACAGGAGCCTTGCCTTTTAATTTAGCACCTGAGAGTTGGAGGAGACAGTTATCCTGCTCCTCACGCTGCTGAGCTACAGTATGGCAGCTTAGGAGAATCCTGGCCACTGGTCTGTCCCCAGCTCCTGCTGAGTTGAACAGAGGGAGTGGGTTATGGCGGTTGGACCTGCAGCAACTACTGCTCTGTAAACCCTGGGAGAAAGATCCATTGCTTTTCTTGGGCATTTCCTGAGTATTTAGGGGAACATTTCACTAGACTTTTTAGAGTTAAGATAGTTTTAACATATTAGTTACTTGATGGAGTTAGACAGTTAAAGAAAAAATACAAATCTAAGAACATGTTTAGAGAAGCAGTGTCAATCCAATATGTGGCCAGAAACGTGGCTTTTCCTTCAAAAGGGATGGAAAAGGTCTACACTTCTGGGTGTTTTCATATCAAACACCTCATGTTATCTTAACAATAACCAAAGCTCCTAGAGAAAGGAAAACAGGTGCTCAGAGGTTAGGTATACTGAAAAAGGACACCCAGCTTAGAGGCTATAGAGCTGGGCTTCCAGAAAAGGTCTGTTTGGCTCAAAAGGCTCTGCTTTTGCCTGAAAAACTGAAGTGTCTACCCTTCAATAAACTTAGGTCACACAAACTTGAGTGTGAGCCCTCGCTTTGCCTTTAGGCCAGTTACTTAATCTGAATGGACCTCTGTCTTCCACCCCATGGAAGCAAAATCAACAGCTGCTTCCAGATGAGGGGAGCAAGTGTGATTGTGATTGGCCCTGAATTAGCGCTCAGGGCAATTTGTGAGTGTTAGTTATCACCTGTTCTAGTTTCTTGAGGTCATATCTGATGTTGAGATTGGCTCTCTACTCCCAGAAGACAGACATCTGGTGGCAGTGATCTGACAGCACAAGACTGTGACAACATAACTCATAAGAATGATCTGCATCAGAGTCTGCGCTAAGACTTCAGCCTGGAGCCACAGTCTGGAGTAAGGCTACAGGGCTGCAATAAGAACACCACCAACTCAAGGCCCTGTAAGCTACTCTGGGGAGCTTGCTTCTGTGAGTAGTGAGACTCAAGCAGTTGGTCTGATGAGCACAGTGAAGGGATTATGGTTTTTCAGGCAGTCTGGAGATGGGAGAGTGACAGAGAGGGAGGGAGATCAGATGAGCAGTGTCACACAACTGAAGAGACCTGTGAAACAGTTACAAGGAATAGACTCGGCTCCTACTTTGCCAGCTGAGGGAATATAAGGAGCTTATGTTAGCTACTGGGATCGAGTTCTCCCACATGAAAAATCAGATATCCTTAGACAGGGTCAAGTCCCGCCAGCATCCAAACAAAAGGCTGGGAATCTATTTATTGCAATTTTCCGAGGGTAAAACAGTGATGAACAGTGGTAGCAACAGATTGTAGAGGAAATGAAGGCACTGAAGATGTTCAGAGGTGGGAAATGACAGGGGCTAATGGGTAACTCCCCAGGAAAGGACACAAGGAAAAGAGCAACCAAACTGCTTTTGAGTTCATCCTGAGATACTAAGATGCCAGCAGTTCCAAAAGAAGGGATCCCTGTGGGAGGAAGATAATGCAACCATTTAGAGAAAAATGGCACATGAATCTTTGTGCCTGGCCCTGGAAAGGGTGCTCAGTCCATGCCCCAAGTGAGTGAGCACCACTGTGATCAGCACCCTGGTACCCCGCATCTCACACTGGTCCTGGCCTTGTCCCGTGGAGGAAGCAGAACCTGAAAAGAGGGAGGGGGCAGAAAGGAGGAACTGTGTAGCAGAGCAGCCCTTACCTGGGACCAGTCTCCCGCCACCAAGTGTGGAGGACAGTCCGTCCTGGCACAGGACTTGTGAGACGATGCCCGGGGTCCTTGGCACAGTTCATCAGAGAGACTCAAAAAGCTGCCATCTGTTAACAGCTGCCGACAGGTGACTCTGCGGTTCTGAGTGCCCCCACCACATGTCCTGGTACACTGTGGAGACAGGAGGAGGTGAGGCTGCAGCTGGGCCCTTGCATGGTGGCACCATGTGGGCCCATACCACCTAAGCACGATGACCATACCTGCTGCCACTCTTCAATGTGCCAGGCAGGAGGGCAGTCGAACTGGTTGCATGCCTGTAAGGCATGGGGCTTTCCATCTCCACACTTCTCTGGAGGAGCGGGGGATTCTTCTGGGTGCAGGCAGTGCACCTCCCGGGTCTGGATGCCAACCCCGCAAGAAGCTGAGCAGGGCCCCCAGGTGCCCACGTGCCACCTATACCGGGACCCAAGAGGGAAAGGTGAATAATGACATAGCATACAGCCATCCGCGCGAACAGTTCCAAGTTCTCCTTGGACCTCCAGACAGTAGACTCTGTACAGATGCCACAGCCCCAGCATTTCCAGCAATAGATACAAGTAAAACACAGAAATACAGCACCGAGAGACAAGAAATGTCAGGGAAGTGTTGAAAGAGCTTACTCATTTGGATAGATCCAGAATGAAAAAAAGCATCAGATATTTTCCCCATCCTGCCCTGCCACCATCTATCAAAAATAAAAACTTGGTTTGGTTTTAAGCAGAGTCCCAAGGAAATGATGATTTATAGAAGCGTCAAAAGACATTTTAAATGTTTAAAAACACACTTCAGGAAATCTTCAGGGCACCTGGATTCATTATTTGGAATATCCCTAAGAAAATTCTTTTATGTTAGCATTGGATTTACAACATGTATACATATATATAAAAATGTGATTCCTTTCCAATAAGATCTTGGAAAAATCAGGTTTTCTTATGAAATATCTAAAATGAAAAACCAGGGCAGCTGCTTTCAATCCATGTTTCCAAATTGCCTTTAAGGAAGAGTCTCCCAATTGACATCCCACCAAACTGTAAGAGTGCCCATTTTCCTACCCCTGCAGAACACTAAAGGATATAACCTAATAAAGCCTCTGCCCATCTGATGCATGAAAAATTACATATTATGGTTGTTTTAATTTTGTGGATGTTTAATTTTTAGTGAACATGAATTCTTAACTAGTTACTGGAGAGGTACATCATGAAGAAACAATTCTAAAATGCTTCAGACACATACAAGGACATTGGGTCCATGACAGTTCATAAGAGGAAAAAAATAGTATTTCATGAAATGAAAGGAGATTATTAAATATGTAACAGTGAATGGCAAAGTAAACAATAATGATTCATATACAGTAATAGCAGCAGTCATTAATATAATATGACAGACATAGTTTTGACATTAAAAATATATTCATAGTATATTTTTACTACAAAAGATAATGCATAAAATGGCTTGCAGAGTATAATCCTATTGTTTATGCATTTATAAATGTATGCACAAAAAGTGGATAATTCCACATTAAAAAATCTCAACAGTTATCACTTTGAGTGATAGGATTCTTATTTCCTTTATTCTTGTGTTTTTTTCTGGATTTTATTTTAATGAGCAGTCATTATCATAAAAGTAAGTTAATTCTCTTAAAAATGAGTATTTATCTAAAGGTGATGTTCACTGTTTCTCACTTACAATTTCCTATAGTAAACATTTTTATTTGTGTAAGTTAGAGGAGAATGAAAAATAAAAATAGTACTCAAGACAAAATGTGGCAAAAAGAGCAGAACTTTTATTCATGAAGGGAAATTTCATGCTGAAGACAAAATCATACAAGTATAGAGACGGACTGAAAAGCACAACTATGTGATATAGTCTGGATCTGGAATATCCCCCAAGGCGTATAGATGTTAACATATGAATATTAAAAGGTTGGTCCCCAGTTTGGCACTGTTCAGAGTGGTAGAACCTTTAAGGCGAGGGGCTTGGTACCAGGTTTTAGGTCATTGGGAGCACGGCCTTAAAGGGGACTGTGGGCTCCAGCCCCTTTCTACTTTCTCACTTCCCCATCCTTAGGTGAATAGGCCTCCTCTCCACCATGTGTGGTCACTATGAATTACAACAACACAGGCCCAAAGCAATGGGCCCAATCAATCCTGGGCTGAAAGCTCAAAACTCGTAAGCTAAAATAACCCTTCCCTCTTTGTAAGTTCATTACCTCAAGTATTTGTTATAGTAATGGAACGCTGAGTAGTTCTGGTACAGTATACATGAAACATGAGCTGTTAGATACAGGAAAATAAAAGGAAATGTAATTTTAAACTTTAAACACTTTAGAGCTGGGTATGCTGGCATACGCAGCACTTGCAAGTCTGAGGCAGGAGGATTGAGAGTTCAAGGCCAGTTTGGGGTACAGAGTAAGACTCTGTCTCAAACAAAACAAAACAAAAACTTGAAGGTTTTAAAATACTTCTCTAAGCCCTTGATATAAAGAGGAAAGCATTAATAAGAATATGCATTTAGTAATATATTTGAAAATATTGATGAAATAGATACCTTTCTAGGGAATAACATATTTAATTGAACAAAGGGGCTGAACCTTACTATTTTTGTGGGAGACTTCCTAAAGATTTTCAAAAACAGGTGCATTTCATGGCTATTTTAAATTTTCCAAAGTAATAAGATTAAAATATTTTAATACATATTATGAAGCTAGCCAAAACCAGAGCATGGAGCCTGACAAATATATACAAAGAAAAAAATTTTACATGTGATCATATGTCCTAAATCTTAAATAAACACATAAATCCTACTCTATAGAAGCAATATATTAAAATAATGCATATGTGTTGTGGACTGCATGGATCCCCCCAAATTCATCTGCTGAAGCTCAATCTCCCCGCAGGATGATATCCAGAGATGAGGCCTCTGGGAACTAATCAGGAAAGACTGAGGTTTGAGGGTGGGGCCCTTGAAAGGGATCAGAAATCAAACCCTGCTGTACTTCCGGGCCAAAAGAAAAGCAAGAACCTTATTGTTAAAACTCTCAGCCTATGAGCTAAGACAGTATGTTTTCTGATCATAGGAATTCCCAAATATTTAGAAAATATGTAATGATCTTCTAAATTGCCCAGAGCCAAAGAAAAAAGTTCATCATGGAAATTAGATAGGATTTTTAAGTGTATGTTAATAAAAGTATCAAATGTCAAAATTTGTAGGACACAGCTAAAGCCATGATTTAGAAGAAACTCAATAGCTTTGAATGAATGTATTAAGAAGGAAGATTGATTTAATAATCTAAGTATTTGTTTTAAGAGGTTAATATAAAAAGAGCAATTAAACTCAAAGAAAGTAGAAGAAAAGATAAAGGTGAGAACAGAAATGAATAAGCTAGGAAATAAAACAAAAAGCTCTTTGGTTTTTGAAATCTTGATGAAATACAAAGAAAAGAGAGAAGTCACAAATCATTGACATTAAGAATACAAGGGGCAGGGGGCTGGGGATTTAGCTCAGCAGCACAGCGCCTGCCTGGCAAGCGCAAGGTCATGAGTTTGATTCCCGGTACTGGAAAACAAAAAAAAAAAAAAAGAATACAAGGGGCAAACACTAAAGCATTAAAATAACAGGTATGATTTTATAATAAGAAATATTACATCAATAAATTCAAAAATTTACATAGACTGAAAAAAATCCTCAAAAAATAAGCTTATCAAATCTAACACAAATGGAGAGATCTTTGCAAAGTCCTATATCTATGAAATTAAAATTTTAATTTGCAATATTACTCCCTTATCACATGGCTTGGCTTTCCAGGAAAAATCCTACTAAGCATATGTCATAAATAATTGTAAACCCTTCAGAAAATAGAATAAAAGGGAAAGCCAAACACAGATGTAAAAACCCTAAATAAAATATTAGTCATTGTGATAGTTAATTGTGGTATCAACTTGAATAAGAAACAGAATGGTTTACCACAGTTGTTAGGACTCTGAAAACTATTAGAGATGGATTAAGTGCATTTTGCATAAAGGGTATGCATGAGTCTTTTTATGAGCCAGAGGGTGGGATGTTATACTTTATTTCTAGGTACCCCCCACAACTCATGTTGGGAGAGGACTGGCTCATGGGGACATGATACTCATCAGTGAAGTAGTTCACTGACAGTTTTAGAGCTAACGTGGTGCTGGGAGGTGAAGTCTGGTCAGAGGAGGTGAGTCACTGGGGATGTGGCCTTTATCTCCTCCTCTCCTCCCTTGGCCCCTCTCTGCTTCCCGTCTGCCCTGCCACGGACTCTTTCTCCTCTGCTGTGTCCCTCTGCCATGCCGCTTTCCTTGGAGCCACTCAAAACTATGACTGAAACCTCTACAAACTGTGAGCCAAAATGAACCTTTCCCCCTTTGAGTTGTTAGTGTCAGGTATTGTGTCTCAGTGAGGAGAAAGTAACTAAGACAGCAGTCAGGTAATAAAGTGAAAAAAAAAAATACTACATTGGGACCAAGCTGGGTTTATTCCAGGAAGGTAAAATAGATTCAATCTTGAAAAATCATTGTATGACACTAGCAAAATATAGGAGTAGAAGTAGGAAATATTTGCCAAATTTCAATAGATACCCTAAGTTTGTCCAAAAAAAGCAAGTTGGGGGGAGGTGCAATGGGACAGAATAGAATAGAACAAGATACCTAGCTGAGGTTCCTTTTTGCTAACAAAAAATAACAGTAACTGTTAAAGATAACATTAAAGGATAAAGACATTCTCCCATGCAAAATAAACATCTTAGTAGACCAGAAATCAAACGCAAATATTCAGTGCTCTAACACTAAGAAAAAGAAAAAGAATATGTCATGTGTTTGAATATACTGAGAGGATATTTAAACTAGAGACTTTGAGAAGTTAACTCATGGGCTTATAGGAACAAGTCAAATAGAAAATAAAGCCAATTACCAATTCCAGAGGAAATAACACTTCAACAAAAAAGAAGCTGCAGTCATAGTAACATATTAAATATCTCAGTTGTGCAGTGGTACTTAAAAAACTAAAATATTTATTGAGATAATAGTTTATATACCATAGTATCTTTTTAAATTATAGCAATGTTCCTTTAAAAAAAAACACCTCTCATCTAATTTTGGACCAATTTAGATACTAAACACTGGATGAAGGTGGGCCACCCAACCATGATCTATCAAAGGCCATGTAACTTGTGCTATACCTCATAAAGTGGATGTTATCTCAAAAGTCACAGGTTTGCTGTGACCAGCAGTAGTCTCTCATTGAGTGGAAGTAGCACATGGAGGGACCACATCATAATGAAGTCTAGTGGTGATATTGGCCACAAGTCCCAGAAACACCTAACCAGACACCACCTGAGCATCCCCCTAGCTGTGTTTTCTTTCTGTCTAATTTCCTATGATTCCCATCAGTTT